AAAAAATGCCGATGAAATATTGGTGCTTGAGAGTGGAAAAATCGTGGAGCGCGGTAATCACAGCTACCTTATCAGTCAAAAGGGGTTGTATTACAAAATGGTCAGTGCGCAAGAGCTATCTGGCGATCACAGTAAATTTCTTAAGCTATTTCAACAGGTTTTGGGAAGGGATTATCACTATTTTTTGTTGAAACATGGAGCCGAAATTAATTTTCTAGTAAGTCTTTAAAATTTCTTTTTCAGATAGCAACAGCAAATTTAGGAACTTGAAAACAGACCCTAAACGCGAATCGGCGACATTAAAAGTCAGGGAGAAAACTAAGAAATTGGTCTCGTTTCCAGATGCTACAAAAGTTCTGGCCCCTGAGGAAGTAATCTTTTGTGGAAGAGTTTTAAATTGCTTTCTTGTGCTGCCGTATAAAAATACCGATGTTACGCGCTTCTTATTAAGCTACGGATGTATCAACCAACGAGCTTGAAAAAGATTTTTTTGGCCAGCCGAGACTCGTGGCTTTACTTCTTCGTCGGGTTTCTGGGATGTTGTATCAACGGGCTTATACAGCCGATTTTCTCGATATTATATTCCCAAATCTTCAGCGTATGTTCTGAAACTTCTTAAACTTTTTAAAAATTGCTTTTTGATGCAGTACGTTATTGATAAAATTCCTCTTTTTCATGTCGCAAACTAGAAGTACTTAATTCCAGCTAAGGTTCAATTTACAGGTTTTTAGTGAATCAAGTGAAACTTTAGTTCGTGATGCTCAGTTTTGGTCGTGGATGTTTGTGCTTTGCGGTGCAACAAATTTCCTTGGTTCATTTACCGGGGTATATTTGTTTTTTCTAGTTTAAATGTTCCTTCATGACATAATATTTTTATTTTTTTGTCCAGTTTAATTTGAAAGGCTCAGCAAGAAATCTTGCATTTAAGATTAACTTGACCGGTTTTTGTGGCGAATCCGTAACAAAGAAGCTAAGGATTGATGCATTTGCTAACATTATGAGGCAAGATATGGCATTTTTTGACGACCCAAAGTATAGCTCAGGAAAGCTGTGCACAAGATTCTCAACTGATGCTCCCAACGTTCGCTATGTTGGTTTTGATTTTGGTCTTTAAACTTCCATTAATTCTTCTTAGTTTTGCATCTCTGAAACACTAAGGCATCAAGTTAGGTAAATACTACTGTGGAAGATTTTTTACTCGAAAAGGTAAGAAGTGGAAATGTGTTGTTGGTAGAAGCTGTATGTTGTTATTAGGTGTTTACAAGACTTCCCGTGGTTAGTTCCTCACTAGTAACTTTGTTCGGTGCAATCTTTATCAGTTTCTGTTTTGGATGGCGGTTGACTCTTGTTCTTATGCCCCTTATACCTCTCGTAGTTGGAAGTGGCTATTGTGACTGGAAGTTACAGGTTTGTACGTGCAGTAAACAATTATTTTTTATGGCTTCAAAGTTTTTCAATGTTTCTTAATATTTTTAAAACTGTGAATATTTGAAAGTTCGTTAAGGCAGGGAAGCAAGTGAAAGGCATTAAATTTCTTGAGAAAGCCGGTAAGGTTGTGTCTGAAGCAGTTGAAAACATTAGAACAGTGCAGGCACTCAATAGACAAACAACATTTTACGAACAGTACTGCCAAAATCTAGAGAAACCCTTCAGGTTCGTTCATGTTTACGACTCTATTACACTTTTAGTCGATAAAACTGTTTTACATATATTTTAGCTAGCTTGGGGAGAGGGCAACAGAAATTGTATTTCAGACTAATGATAATTCTGAAAATAACTGATTAGAATTGTAGCAAGTAAATACTTAGTGTTTTTATTTTACATCTAAAATTCTGAAGTCAATTTCTGACTATAATGTTTGTGGCAGGAATCTATAATTTCCAGGCAAAATATTGCTCATGGAAACATTTATGGTGCGATGTTTGCTTTTTCTCAGTCTTTGGTCTTTTTTATGTACGCAGCATCTTTTTACCTTGGTGCAATTTTTGTCAATAGTTTTATAATGCAACCAGTGGATGTCTACAGGTAAGACTTAAAACTTTTGTTCTATATTTTATTTGTGCAAAAACTGACTAATAGTTATATTTTAGAGTTTTTTTTGCTATCGCTTTTTGTGGGCAGTCTGTTGGTCAGATTAGTTCATTTATACCCGATATTGTGAAGGCTCGTTTAGCGGCATCTCAAGTTTTCAGTTTAGCAGAACATCCATCTGCAATCGATGCTCTGTCCGAGAGCGGGTCTCATGAAGTGAGTAGTACTTGTGAATTTATGAGAAATGGAGTGGATTTTTTATGTCTGGAAGATGCCTTTTTGGTTTTTTTGCAAATTCTATTACTTTCACTGGATGCAAAATATCTTCTTAGCTAGTTACTTAAGGAGCTTAGAGGCAGAGTGGTTATTAAAAATATTTATTTTGCGTATCCAAGTCGTCCAAACGTACAAGTTCTAAAAGACTTCTCATTATCTGTTAACGAAGGGGAGACAGTAGCATTAGTTGGTTCATCGGGATGTGGAAAGACTACGGTGATGATGTTACTTGAGAGGTTTTACGAACCACAAAGCGGCGATATTGTAAGTGACTTTTTAAACTTTGTAGAAAGGCCGTTTGAAACACTAGATATTCATACTCAGCGGGCCAGTATTAGCATGGTGATTTAGGTGACGTATTCAGGATCTTCGAGTTAAACCAATGTTTATTTGTTTCCATAACACATCTGCGAAAACCATCTTGTGATATCTTTACTGTCTACATTTCTTCTTTTGAGTTTTTTAAAATATTATTAGTTGCAGCTTATTGATGGGATACCAATCAAAGAAATAAATATCGAATGGCTAAGAAATCACATTTGTATAGTCTGTCAGGAACCATTGCTTTTTAACGCTTCGATTGAGGAAAACATTATTTATGGCATAGAAAGATCAGTATCCCATAGAGAGGTTGTGGAGGCCTCAAAGCTTGCCAATATTCATGATTTTATAATGAAGCTTCCACGGGTCAGTCAAGTAAACTTTAGCCAGAACTGTAGTCAACAAGTGCCATAGGGGGAACTCAGGTACACATACGATAATTTAAGGGATATGAGACGCAAGTGGGTGAGAAAGGCAGGCAACTGTCAGGTGGCCAAAAGCAGCGAATAGCAATTGCGCGAGCCTTGGTACGTAAGCCATTAATTCTGCTCCTTGATGAAGCAACGTCTGCTCTGGACACAGAGTCCGAGAAGGTTAGTTTCTTTTGGAAATTGAAAAAACGAGTGGTGTGAAAGTTTTATGGCTCAGTTGAGCACTGAATGCTAGTCGCTCACTACTGGGTCATGTTATTTGCTATTTTTTACATACTGAGCTTGTCAGCCGTGTCGCTCGACATCGTTTGCCAAAATCATTCAATTCAGGCTGTACAGCAAGCAGTCGAAAACGCGCGGAAGGGTCGCACTTGTATTATGATCGCACATCGCTTATCGACTATTCAAAATTCTAATTCTATTGCAGTTCTTCATGATGGAAAAATAGTGGAGAAAGGTCCAATTACGGCAAAATATTTAAGCTTTTTTTCACTTTCGTCATCTGAAATGCCGCTTTCAGGCACTCATAGCGAGCTAAGGAGCAAGAATTATGGTACTTATAAATTATTATGCGAAGCGCAAGAGCTGATGAAGCCTCTCTGATTAGAGGGCCAAATTTTCAACAAACCCGGTTGTTCGAAGCAATTTGCTATGGTTCTGTAAGACAGTTTCAGTGACCAACACCACGGGACGGGTGCTACTGATCTGTAATCTCAGTATTCAGTCCTGCAGGACGGGTGCAGTGTCCTAAAGAGTGACTATAAAGATGAAAAATCTGTTAGAATAAATCTTCCGCCTAATTTGAGTACTTCCGCTTGTTCTTCTCATATTCCAGGAACTTTTGCCAAAACTGTTATGCATTTGTTACAAAAATTGCGAACATCTTGATACATTCCACAAAACATTTTGATCAGGCTTCCAAAGTTGTGGTGGAAATAGAGCAGTGCCAAAAGAATCAAAAAATAAAAAAAACGGGAAATTCCAGGAATAAACTTGAGCAAGTTGTAATTAAGATAAATCAATTACTAGATAAATAAGCCCCGTCAAACATCAAGAGCAGTGTTTGAGGAGCAAATGCTCTTGATGCTCATATAAACAAAATATGGGCCTTAAAAACATTCTCGATCATACGAACAGAGAAAGAAACATACGTAGGACTTTGCCTGCAGACAGCCATACATGGAGACTTAAAGTACTGCGGGGATTGAAATTAGCACAACCCTACTTTTAAAACTGCATTTCTATTATACAAATGTCCGCCCGCTGTTAACTTCCTAGTCCGAAAATCAGAAAATCAGCATGAGGTGATTCCAAGTTAAGATTGGTTAAATATCAAATTCAAGTATGGCAAGGACATGACGGCTTAACATTGATCGCTTTAGAGTTCAGACATTTTTCCAAACAAGTTCCAGTGCCAATTGATGAAATGGTGTTGAGTCCGGAAAATCTCTACAGGGTGTTACCGTGATCTAATGGCAATAGGTTGGACCCATATGGACTATAGCAAAGCTTTTTTATTTTTGAAAGTGCCTGCCGAAGGCGTGAAATTGAGTTTCTACAGAGTTATGAAAAAGAAATTGGCAAATACAAATATCTATTGTGGTACTGAAGTTCAAGATAAACAAGAGAAAAGAAAAACTGGTGAGGATGATTAGGTACGCCGGATGAGAAGTTACATTAGATGAAGAAAATCACAGTCAGTCTAGCGCGCGTCCTGTAGCCAAAATATCTCGATCGTGACATTTTTAGAAGCATTTGCGGTGAACGATTGATGGGCCTGACTCATCATACTCCTGCAAATAGTGGCATTTTCAGCACCAAAATTCCTTATGAGAAATTTGCCATTTAAAACGAGAGCACACTGTCTTACCGGTTTTGAAATCCACATCTGCTGGAAAGTAGACAGCGATGATAGGATAGAGCCACCAATCCAAACAGAGTACTTGCGCTCGGGTGGGGCGACTATCTTTACTTTCATTGTGCTACAATTATATCGTAAAAGATAAATTTAACAAGTTGTGGCTCTAGTTTATCGTCATTAAATATGCTATAAATGGTATAGCAAATAAAAGAATTTTAAATCCGTCAAACAAGCAATGAATCGCGCTTCAAGGATTTCAAAATAATGTTCATTCCTCTACTAAGTCAGACCTGGGTGCTAGAGAAGAAAGTTCTTTCTGCATACGATCTGCGATGCCGGCGTACATTGATGTCCCACCAGAAAGTACCAAATTTGCATATAAATCTTTGCGAATATCAATATCGCATTTCATAATGCTATTGTAACACGTTTCGTGGATGCCAGTCGATTCCATACCCAAGAAAGATGGCTAAAGAGTTGACATTAAATTGCTGACACCGTTTTCACCAATTATCGGGTCTGGGCACAATTATTTGGCAATTAGGGGAAGCAGGATTTATGGTTAAGAAAAACAGAGTGGTAACAAACCTGGAAAAGAGCTTCTGGACATCTGAACCGTTCGTTGCCTACCGTGATAACCTGACCGTCAGGAAGCTCATAAGATTTTTCCAGAGATGAAGACGATGCGGCTGTTGCCATTTCCTGTTCAAAGTCAAGCGCAACGTAGCACAATTTTTCTTTAATGTCACGGACAATTTCCCGCTCAGCAGTAGTGGTAAAAGAATAACCACGCTCAGTTAAAATTTTCATTAAGTAATCAGTTAGGTCGCGGCCAGCAAGGTCAAGACGTAGGATTGCATGAGGTAAAGCATAACCTTCATAAATCGGTACAGTATGGCTTACACCATCGCCAGAATCCATAACAATGCCAGTGGTACGACCAGAAGCATAAAGAGACAGTACTGCTTGAATAGCAACATACATTGCAGGAGTATTAAAGGTTTCAAACATAATTTGTGTCATTTTTTCCCTGTTCGCCTTTGGATTCAATGGAGCTTCGGTCAACAACACTGGATGTTCCTCAGGTGCTACTCTCAATTCGTTATAAAATGTGTGATGCCATATCTTTTCCATATCATCCCAGTTGGTAACGATCCCATGCTCAATAGGATATTTCAATGTCAAGATACCTGAAAAAATGCACTGGTATTCAAAACAAAATACTTCTAATTAATCATTTTTGCAAAATAACATGAGGCTCAAGTACCTGTGATACCCCAAGACCTAAAAGACTTCCAAAGAATAGAAGTAGCTTTAGACTAATCAATCGTCCCCTTAAAAGCTTCCCCCTATTACCATGGCAAAAGTTAGGAGAATGAAATTTGCAAGCCCTCTAATCCTTCATCAGTGCATTTTGTTTCTTCTTAAAGCGGTATAAGGATAACGACCAGACCAAACAGACGTAGACACTTATGAGCTTTTAAAGGTTGACCTCGCTTAGCCTGAGCTTCATCCCCAACATATGAGTCCTTCTGACCCATACCAACCATGACACCTTGATGCCTTGGGCGACCAACGATGGAAGGAAAAACTGCACGGGGAGCGTCATCTCCAGCAAATCCGGCCTTGAAAAGCAAACGAAAAATTTCAGAAACAACAACAATTAAAATGTTTGGGAAACGAACTTTATCAGTCATCAAAAATTATTGCCGTAGTTTTCTAAGATGCGCCGCAGCAACTAGCAAGATCAAGGTAGCGCAATCGCAGCTTATATTTTCTTCTAGAATCGATTTTCAGGAAATTTTTTTGATACTTGACAAAAGAAAAAAACAACTTTGATGGCAATTGCAAAATGAATTATAGAATTAAAGAGTTGAAAAGAGGTAGTAGAAATATGATTAAAAAGCTTTTGCAAACAGAGCGTTATGCATCTGTAGTTGGTAACAATCCGTTGTACACTTCACAGCGCTACAATTACTTTTGCATAAGTTTAAGCGTCTTTCAGAGGACGCAGAAACTGTCGCCGATTTCACTCAGAACAACTTTCCCACCTGTTTATTCTCACTAAAAAAAAACTCTTGCAGAGCACAACAAAAATGTCTGTATCAAGAAGAAAATTGCATTTAGTGTAAAAGAAATTAACAAAACACTGAAAATACCTTGCACATTCCCGATCCATTATCGACTACAAGTGCTCCAACATCTTCTTCAGCCATGTTTGCTCAAATTAAACCCTCAACAGATAAACTTTAACGAGCAGCCGCCGCTCAACACAACCAGTAAATGCAGAAACAGCCGTTCTGTTCCGTCGGTTGCCGTTTTAGGCAGGCAAGTTCAATAAAAAAGTATATAAATAAATAAAAGAAATGCTGGTAAAGTTTTGCTTAATCTTTCACAAAAAATAAACTTTTTTCATTGGACAGTTACTGTAGATTTCAGCCTCTTTCAATACTTATTGACTGTTTTATCTTCCTTACTGTGTCCTGTTTAAAACTTCTCAGTGACCGGCTAATTTGCTTTTCTTCGGAAAAAAAAATTTGAAGAGCCTATTGTTTCTAGTATCAACAGTAAAAAAAGAAGCAATTTTAGAAATTAGAGTCGGTTTTTAAAATTTAAAAAAAAAAACTTTTTACAGTTTCTATTCCACATGTTTCATTAGCAAAATATAAATAAAAC